TCTCCAGGTAAACTCCAGGATGCGACCCACACGAGTCGGCTAACTCCCAGGTACCTATTCACTGCTAGGTAAACAGCATCTCACTACATCCTTCGGAGTACAGAGTGACTGGAAATTCTTTAATAATCAAGTCTTCCGGTCGATTCTGTGAGAATCATCCTAATTATATATTATATTTTTTTCGTACGGTTTCCCATGATTTTTTATAATGAAGTTTTTCACTTGAAGTGTTATCATGATTTAACTGAGTTCCGCCGAAACGTTTTTTCGTTGTAGAAACAGATAAAATCAAAATCAAAATCAAAATCAAATTTTTGTTTTCGTTTAGGCGAAAAAAACGGGGTGGTGAAGTGAGCATAAACATGTGAAGACGTTCAACAGGAACTTCCCTCCCCTCTCCCCTCTCCCCACCTCCCCTCTCTCCTCCTCCTTCCCCTCTTATTCTTCCCCTCCTCTTTGCTTAAGTAGTGAGATTTACAGTAGTTGAGGCAAAGTGGCAGAGGAGCTAAGACTTGATTGGAGCACTGACCCTCTGTTGAAGCAGCAGGGGGAGGGGGAAAAAGAGGGGGCTAGCAGTTTGGGGAACAGGGGGTGGCTAAATATGTGGAGGACAGATGATATCTGAAGGAGGGATGGTTGTTGGTTATCGCTAACACTGAACATGTGGAGACAGCTTGGTTGGCAGCGTGGGAAGCTGGCAGAGTGAGGGAGAGCTGACAGCTTGTAGGAAGGGCTGATAGTGTGGGTTTGCTCAGAGAAGAAATTTTTCTGTTATATTGTACTATATTGTTACCTGTATCTGAATAAACCTACCACTGTGTAAAGTATGAATCCCAGTTCCACCTCCCTCCCACTGATCCCTCTCCTTTCCTTCCTTCCTTCCCTTCCTCCCGTTTCATCCCCCTCATTCTGTTTTCCTGTCCTCTTTTCCCTCCCTCCTTCCTCTCTCCACCTCCTTCCCTCCCTCTCACGTACCAAGTACTGCCTCGCGTAATAAGAATCAGCTAAACTTTAAATAATTGCGCAATATCCGGGGGAGAAAGACTATAGTCTAAAGACCTCGGCGAGAAACCCTAGTGCAAAAGCCTAGGGCCCTAAGCGAAAGACCTTAGTATAAAGACCTCAGTGAAAGACTTCAGCTTGGCAAGCCCTCGGTGAAGGTGAGAGTGCCTTGGCTAACTGTCCTAATCAAAGCCTTTCTCAAAAGACCATGGAAGCAAACCTGATGATTCTCTTTGCAAAAAGCAGCCTTGAACTAAAGGCCTTGGAAGAAAGACCTTGGAGGACAGACCTTGGAGAGGCCTTAGTCTGAAGCAGTGAATATTTAGTGTCCTTGGGGAGGTGTCCCAGTGCTGACTCCTTTTACCTTCGTCAGACTTACGAGTCTACTGATCAAGTATCTTAGACGTCTGAAAACGTACTTGGAAGAAATACTAGTAATATCCTTAGACTTAGTCTGAAATATATTTATTCTTGGATTATGTATATATTAAATTATATATAATTAAGTATATATATATACTATATATATATTACTATATATATATATTATATATTAATATAATTATAATATATATATATATATATATATATATATATAAATATATATATATATATATATATATATATATATATTATATATATATAATATATATATATATATATATAATATATATATATATATATATAATATATATATATATATATATATATATATATATATATATAATAAATTATATATATATATATATATAATATTATATATATATATATATATATATATATATATTATTATATATATATATATATATATATATATATATATATATATATTTATATATATATATATATATATATTATATATATATATATATATATATATATATATATATAAAATATATATAATAAATAAAATTTTTGTTGAGGAAAAATTATTGACCTTGCGCGTAATTGTAGTGTGTGATGTGTGACGATTCTCACAAAATGCAGTATTTTAAAAGATAATTTTTTTTTTATTCTGCCACTTTTTTTTCCTGCTTCTCGGACCGTGTCTCCTGGGGGGGGGCTACTCCACTCTTCCCTCTCCTTCCTCTTATGTTTCTCTAGCTGCGACACTGGTTCGAAGACCTTAGAAAAGAAATTCTGTATGATAGACTTCAGAAGAAAGGCTTTGTAGGAATAACCTCGTAGGTGAGACCTTGTAGAAGAGACCTTGGAGGAGATACCCCGGAGTCACTTTGTAGAAAAGACCTTGAAGAGAAAACTTTACAAAATATATTTGTAAAAAATGTCTGCGAATAACACAGGTGAAGTAGGATACGGTTAAAAGAGACTTCGAGGAAAGACCGTGGTAGCGAGGTCTCTACAACAAGCTTCGTAGAGGATAACTGGAAAAAGGCCGGCTGGGTAACTTAAGACTTTAGACGAAGACCTTGGCGAGATAATAAAGTCCTTAGTCAAAGATCTTGTCGAGGTAATTATGCTCTTAGTCAAAGATCTTGTCGAGGTAATTATGCTCTTAGTCAAAGATCTTGTCGAGGTAATTAAGCTCTTAGTCAAAGATCTTGTCGAGGTAATTATGCTCTTAGTCAAAGATCTTGTCGAGGTAATTAAGCTCTTAGTCAAAGATCTTGTCGAGGTAATTAAGCTCTTAGTCAAAGATCTTGTCGAGGTAATTAAGCTCTTAGTCAAAGATCTTGTCGAGGTAATTAAGCTCTTAGTCAAAGATCTTGTTGAGGTAACTAAGCTCTTAGTCAAAGATCTTGTCGAGGTAATTAAGCTCTTAGTCAAAGATCTTGTCGAGGTAATTAAGCTCTTAGTCAAAGATCTTGTCGAGGTAATTAAGCTCTTAGTCAAAGATCTTGTCGAGGTAACTAAGCTCTTAGTCAAAGATCTTGTCGAGGTAATTAAGCTCTTAGTCAAAGATCTTGTCGAGGTAATTAAGCTCTTAGTCAAAGATCTTGTCGAGGTAATTAAGCTCTTAGTCAAAGATCTTGTCGAGGTAATTAAGCTCTTAGTCAAAGATCTTGTCGAGGTAATTAAGCTCTTAGTCAAAGATCTTGTCGAGGTAATTAAGCTCTTAGTCAAAGATCTTGTCGAGGTAATTAAGCTCTTAGTCAAAGATCTTGTCGAGGTAATTAAGCTCTTAGTCAAAGATCTTGTCGAGGTAATTAAGCTCTTAGTCAAAGATCTTGTCGAGGTAATTAAGCTCTTAGTCAAAGATATTGTCGAGGTAATTAAGCTCTTAGTCAAAGATATTGTCGAGGTAATTAAGCTCTTAGTCAAAGATATTGTCGAGGTAATTAAGCTCTTAGTCAAAGATCTTGTCGAGGTAATTATGCTCTTAGTCAAAGATCTCAGGAAAAATAACGAGGAAATTAAGTTAAAATCCACCCAGACAGAGAATAAACAAAAAGTCAATACCATGGCTGGAACTATTCACCAAAAACCCGTTTCGGTCCTTCTTGGACCACTGTCAAATTATTTGACACTGGTTCAAGACTGACCGAAATTTCGCCATGAGGGTCTTAGGACAGGTTTTGGGCGAATTGCACCATTACATTTACCTTTGTTATAACTTTGATGAATTCCGAATTTTTCCATTCCCGGAGCCCAACCATGGGCCAGGCTCATCTGGTGTTTGCCTGGTCAACCGGGCTGTTGCGGCTGATAGCCCGCAGCCCCACATATCCATTACAGCCTAGTTGATCTGGCATCTGGTGAAGATGCTTGTCCAGTTAATTCTTGAAATGCCTCTGAAAATTACGAATTGTTCACGCTCCGTGTGAACAATTCGTATAAAATATGAATTACAATAAAAGGAACAAAAAAAATATAGACTCAGGTGTCTCTGGGGACCAATGACCTAAATCAGCGTGTGTGTGTGTGTGGGAACGATGGGTGTTTAGTCACCCTTGTCCAGTATGGTAACTCACGCTGCGATACTAGTGTCTCATGAGTTCATATTAGGTGCGATAAACTAGGTATGTTTAGCTTGTTAAATTGGGGAAGTTATTAATGCCTCCCACACATTCCTCACTAATCACACTGCAAAAAAACAAACTGCAATGCCTTCATTTGCAAAGACCATCTTCCCGCACATCCTGTCTTCTCCTCCTTCTCCTCCCCTACTGCTACTGCTGCTGCTGTTGTTGTTGCTGCTGCTGTTGCTACTGCTGCTGCTGCTGCTGCTGCTGCCGTTGTTGCTGCTGCTGTTGCTACTGCTGCTGCTGCTGTTGTTGCTGCTGCTGTTGCTGCTGTTGCTGATGCTGCTGCTGCTATTGTTGCTGCTGTTACTGTTGATGCTGCTGCTGTTGCTGCTGTTGCTGCTGCTGCTGCTGCTGCTGCTGCTGCTTCTGTCGTTGCTGCTGCTGCTGTTGCTGCTGCTGCTGTTGCTGCCGTTGTTGCTGCTGCTGTTGCTACTGCTGCTGCTGCTGTTGTTGTTGCTGCTGCTGTTGCTGCTGATGCTGCTGCTGTTGTTGCTGCTGCTGTTGCTGCTGTTGCTGATGCTGCTGCTGCTGTTGCTGCTGCTATTGTTGCTGCTGTTGCTGTTGATGCTGCTGCTGTTGCTGCTGTTGATGCTGCTGCTGTTGCTGCTGTTGCTGCTGCTGCAGCTGCTGCTGTTGCTGCTATTGCTGCTGCTGCTGCTCTTCCTGCTATTGCTGCTGCTGCTGCTCTTCCTGCTATTGCTGCTGCTGCTGCTCTTCCTTCTCTTCCTCCTTCCCTTCTCCTCCTAACCCCAATAAATCAAAATAGTATATTCTATCTATATTTACTTTAATCTTTCCTAGAGAACCCCCTTCATGAGATTCCCTTCCAAACGACCCCTGTTATCCCTCTCCCGAAGGCCCTTACCCTGACACTTCCCTTCCTGTATCCCCTCCCCCTCCCTCTCTCTCTCTTCCTCCCCCATTGTCCATCTTCCCCGTCCTTGAAGGCCGCAGCACACTCAACAAAACAGACATCCTATACTCGAATTCGCTCAGTCCCTCGCACATCAGCCGTGCACCGCCTCGCTTCCTCAACGCGATACCCCTTCGACTTCTGCCGGTCTAGTACTGGCTTACCCCCCCCCCCCACTCAACCACCCACGATCCACCAGAATTACTCTGCCGCCCACAGCTTATCACTACTCAAAAAATAATTCGCCCTCTCTTACTCCAAGGTAAGATGTAACATTCACTTTGTCGTGACTAGCAAAGAGGTTACAGACAGCCCCGTTACAAAATATGTTAGAATTTATCTTATATACAGCAAGTGTAGCAAGAAGATACAGGAGCGCATGTGTTCAAATGAACGCGTATGTTTTCATTTGAACACAAACGCACACATGATATACATACACAGTAAGAAAAGAATGGGTAGACTGTATCTTGCTCGACTGTATGAACGGATTTGACGCAGTACCACATAGTAGACCGGAAGAGCAGGCAGAATTAAAATGCAAGGTGCTCTGACAGATGTACCTGGAGAGAGTTTCGGAGATCAACATCCCCGCGGCCCGGTCTGTGGCCAGGCCTCGTGTTGGCTCAGGGCTTGATCAACCAGGCTGTTAGTGCTGGCCGCACGGGAACAGACATACGAACCATAGCCTGGCTGATTAGGTACTGACTTTAGCTGCCAGTCCAGTGTCTTCTTGAAGACAGCCAGAGGTCTATTGGTAATCCCTCTTATGTATGCTGGGAGGCAGTTGAACAGTCTTGAGCCCCTGACACTTATTGTGTTGTCTCTTAGTGTACTCGTGGCGCCCCTGCTGTTCATTGGGGGGATGTTGCATCTCCTGCCGTGTCTTTTACTTTCGTGGGGAATGATTTTCGTGAGCAAATTTGGTACTAATCCCTCTAGGATTTTCCAAGTGTATAGTATCATCTATCTTTTTCGCCTGCGTTCCAGGGAATACAAATCAAGAGACTTCACCGTTCCCTTGAGAAATAAATGCCCTGAGAATAAAAAGCAGATGGTAACAGCAAAAAAAAAAAGTGTTAGAATGGATAACGAGTGGAGTCACAAAAGATCACTGAATAAATCCTTGTTGTTCCTGATATACACTAAATAACTTACCAGGGGAAATAAAAATACACATATCGTTGTTTGCGGATATTAACTTAAATATTAATAAAAAGACAGGACTGGGAGAGGTTCCAAGATGACTTGACTTAGCTGCAAATTGCAAAATAATGATAATATGAGAGGAAGTGAGAAGTTCGGACAAGGAATACAACCTGAGAGGAGAGCAACCACAAATAGCTCAGAATTTAAGGAAATGCTCCTCACACTGCTGAATTAGGGACTAGATACTTTTTTGATACTTCTCGAATATACAGGTTGAAATATATACCTTGATGTATAGTATAATATTCAAGCTTACAACTTCTGGGGAATAGGAGTTAAACAGGTTTGATCCGAGGGTTAGGGGAGCTTAAATTTCTTAGATGCTTTAACAACATCGAAGCATCCTTCATAAAGGAAATTTTAACCTCAACTGGGACCTCTTCTATGGCAGAAATGACATGTATGCCAGGGATGGGGTTCACTTATCTAGGTCTGGGGTGGTAGCACTGGCAACTGCAGTGGAGGGAGCAGTTAGGACTTTAAACTAGGAATAGTTAGTGGTATGGGTTTTGGCAGGAAAACAGTGAAGTCCCAGTGTAGTAATATTACGAGTTCTAGGGGAACTAGTAATAAGCAGAACGAGGTAGATATTGAAAAGCCAGCGACTTTGGGTGATAAGGACAGTAATAGGTTTAGTAAAAAAAACAGAAATGAGCAGGAAGGGTAAAGAGAAAGGAGAGTCTTTCAATGTTTATTATGCTAATTGCCGTAGTGCTAGGAATAAGATGGACGAGTTGAGATAGTTGCTAGTGCAGGTAACATTGATGTATTTGCCTTAACTGAGAGTGGTTTAATTCAAAAAGTCGGGACATGCCTGCGGAAAAGTCATATTCAGGGTTTTAAATTGTTCCAAGTAGATAGAAGTATCGGGAAGGGGGGTGGGTGGCATTGTATGTCCGAGATTCGCTTGAACTGTTGCATAAAACGGGTATTAAGTCTGAAGTAACCCCATACAGAGTCTGTTTGGATAGAAATTTCAAGGGGCATGAAAAACTGATTTTAGGAGTGATATACCGTCCCCAAACTTAGATAGGTACCAAGGAGACTATATGGGAGGAAATTTATAAACCCCAAGGCACGATAATGTAGTAATTCTAGGAGACTTTTAAATTTAGTCCATATTGATTGGAATTTCTTGACTGGGAATTTAGAATCATACACTTCTTAGAAGTAGTTCAGGGTTGTTTTTTGAAGCAGTTTGCGACAGAACCTACCTACAAGGGAAATAACCTGCTTGAAATTAGTTTTTGGCAAAAAAATGAATCCCTTTTAATAATTTAGAAATTTCAGAGGAACTGGGTGCTAGCGACCACAAATCAATTACATTTAGCATTGAATGGAAGTACGATAGTAGCGATAACTCATAACAGTCCCAGATTTTCGCTTAGCAGATTACGATGGGCTTAGAGAACATTTATCATCTGTTGACTGGGGTAACGAAGTGAGATATCAATATGACAGTGTTTTTGAACACTATACATGCTGCTCAAAGAACGTTTACCCAATAAAGAAATTAGATCAAATAGAAATGACCCAAAATGGATGAATAATAGGCTTTAAATATCACTAGGGCAATAAGAAAGGAATTTAAGGCGTATCAAAAGAGGTGAGGGCATCTTATGAATCAGTATATTGACTTAAAAGGGGGCATTAAAAAGGGGATAAGAAAAGCTAAAAGGGACTACGAAATTAAAGTTGCTAGGAATTCTAAAACTAACCCAAAAAGTTTTCTCCAGGTATACAGAACAAAAGTTAGAGATAAGATAGGTCCCCTTAAAAATAACTATGGGCACCTTACTGACAAAGAGAATGAAATGTGCTCGATTTTTAATAATTATTTTCTCTCAGATTTTACACAGGAAGACACTAACAATATTCCAGTAATTAATTTTTATAGTGGGCTAGAAGAAGATAAATTATGTAACATCACAGTCACTAGTGAAATGGTTGTGAAGCAGATAGCCAGACTGAAGCAAAATAAGTCGCCGGGTCCTGATGAGGTTTTTTCAAGGGTTCTTAAGGAATGCAAAATGGAACTCTGTGAACCATTAACTAATATTTTTAATTTATCTCTTCAAACAGGTGTAGTGTCTGATATGTGGAAGATGGCTAATGTAATTCCTATTTTTAAAACAGGGGACAAGTCGTTACCGTTAAATTACCGCCCAATAAGCCTGACCTCAATTGTAGGCAAATTACTAGAGTCAATTACAGCTGAGATTATAAGAAGCCATCTCGATAAGCATAGCTTGATTAATGATACTCAGCATGGATTCACAAGAGGCCGGTCTTGTCTAATTTATTAACTTTCTTCAGTAAAGCTTTTGAGGCTGTTGACCACGATAAAGAATTTGATAGAGTTCTGCACCATAGATTGTTAAAGAAAGTGGCAGCTCATGGCATTGGGGGAAAAGTGCTCTCGTGGATCGAGTCATGGCTCACTGACAGGCAGCAGAGAGTGTCCATAAATGGGGTTAAATCCGAGTGGGGATCTGTAACAAGTGGCGTTCCACAGGGATCAGTCTTGGGCCCGTTGTTGTTTATAATATATTCAATGATCTTGATGAGGAATTAACTAGTGATATGGCAAATAATTTTTTCCCCCGCATGACACAAAGATAGGTAGGATAATCGATTCAAACCGTAGATGTTTATGGGAAACTTCAGGATGATTAAACCAAACTCTATTCTTGGTCAGAAAAAGTGTGGGCAGATGCGTCAATGTAGATAAATGGCAGGGTTCTGAAGCTTGGGATGCCCATAACCCTAGTACTTATAAGTTAAATGATGTAGAACTTAGCCATACAGATAAGCGAAAAGGACTGGGGTTATGGGAGCTTCAACCTTAAACCAAGACAGCAATGCTAAGCCGTGTGATTAATGGTTTGAAAAACCGACAAGTTGAAGATTGAGACACTTTATGCAGTCATATGGGAATCTTTATTTCAGGAATACGTTTCGCCGCGCCACGCAGTGCAATCAATCAGTCCAATACAAAGAAGGCTTACGGAGAGGAGGAAATGAGGTAATCATCCTCAACCTGGAGTCGATGGTTCAGTCCATCATCATGTAGAATGTACAGCATAAGGGCCCGTAGACGTGGCTATATACTGTAGAGATGTGAGGTGAAGCAGGCGGAGCGGGGGCAGATAGTGTACCATCCACTAGTCGAAGTAGGTCTTCGTCCAAATGTTGAACTAAGTGTTGAAGAATTCTTTGTAACAAGAACCCATGATGCTAACTGTGTCCTGACATTGTGATGAATGGTATGAAAAACCGACAAGTTGAAGATTGAGACACATATGCAGCATATGGGAATCTTTTATTCAGGAAACGTTTTCGTCCGCCACGCAGTGGCTTCATCATCAGTCCATACAAAGAAGCGTAAGGAGAGGAGGAGAATGAGGTAATCAGTCCCTCAAACCTGGAGTCGATGTTGTTCAGCATCCATCTCAATCTTTTAGAATGTTACAGCCTGGGCCGTCAGCCCGTGGCTTATATACTGTCAAGAGATGTGAGGTTAAGCAGGCGGAGGCGGGGTCATAGTGGTTACCATCCACCTAGTCGAGAAGTAAGGTCTTCGTCCAAAGGTTGAACAAGTGTGAAGAATTCTTTGGTAACAAGATCCATGATGCTACGTGCGCGCATCTCCTACACTGCGAGATTTGAGCCCCCACCCCCCTAATAGTGATGGAACACAGAATCACACACACACAAAACAACACAGCTCGACACCCCCCGCCAGCTGACATCGAATTGCGGCTGCACATAGTCGTGACCCGCGCTGAGCTGAGCTCACCAGCGTATTCAGATCGCCGGACACCACCATCAACACCTTATACACTATCAACACGACACACACACACAAGTTCCTTTATAGCCACGCCACAGCGTGCTCACGATATATATCTCGCCCCTCAAACCCCACTCCCAAACCCAACACCTAACCCATCTCACACAACAGAGTGCGAGACACACACACAGATCAACAGCAGAAAGAGACACACACACACACAGCGTGCACACTAACACACCACGTCAGTCCCATCACCC